CTGGCTTTGATCCACATTTGCTGTCCCGTGGGCCCAGGCCCTGCCAGGCAGTCTGCACCCGATCCCACCTGCCAACGCCCACAGCCCTGGCCCTGCCCCAGCCAGGCCTCCGTGTCCCCAGCCACGCGCCTGTGGCCTCATGGCAGCACACAGTGTGCCTCAGTTGCTCTCACCGGAGCTAACCCTCCAGGCCCCACTCCCTGACGTCCCGACAGTGAGGCCAGCCTGAGAAAGGCTGAGAAATTCTAGACTGGGGTGGTTTCTCTCCCAAACGTTTGGCAACATTCGCTGGTGAAATTATCTGGATCTGTAGTTTTCTTTGTAGGAAGGATTTTAATTTCAGATTCTATTTATTTAATAGATATGGGATATTTGGACTTTTTTTTCGTGTTGATGCTGCGTCTTCACAAATACCCCCGCCACCGCCATGTGTCTCTGCTACCACGAGCCATACTTAGACTCCCCTCGTCATACCCCGAACCCCCGACCGCCCCTCTGCAGTCGGTCTGCACCCCAGCCCGGCCCCTGGCGGCCACGGATGGTTTTTGGCCCCCTCTCATCGCCCTTTCAAAAATGACTTCCATGAGAACCACACAGAGGGTACCATTTTGCCACCTAACGAATGATTCCAACAGACCCTTTGCCAAAGAGGAGACACGAAGGGCAGATAAATATGCGAAACGTGTGCAACACCCTGAGTCATCAGGGAAATGCAGAGTGAACCCCGTGAAGCCCTCTGCACCCCCAGGCCACCAGCGTAACGACAGTCTGACGGGAAGGACCGGCAGGAACGGGGGCCTGGGCTGACACAGCTGAGCTTAAACCCACATCGCACTTGGGTTTTGTTTATGCCAAGGAACCTGCTCCTTTGATCTCCTTGGTTTGGCGTTTGCTGATTGTGTGTTTTGAGATTTTCCTTCATTTTCCCTCATTGCATTAGTTCCTGCAGCTGCCATAGCAAATTACCCCAGAAAGGGTGACTCAAAACAACAGACATTTGCTCTCTCGCAGTCCTGGAGGACAGAAGTCTGAAGTTCAGGTGTCAGCAGGGCCACACTGTCTCGGCGCTAAGGAGCCTTTTCTGCCTTCTGGAAGCTTCCACAGACCTTGGCATCTGGTGGCTCGTAGCTGCCTCACTCCAGTGCCCACCGCCGGTGCCACGCGGCGCCTTCCCGCTGTGTCCAAATTGCCTTCTCCTTTCTCTTACAAAGACTCTAGTCGCTGGGCGCAGGGCCCACCGTGAAGTGTGGCCTCATCTTAACCACATACCTCTGCGAAGACGCCGATTCCCAGTGAGGCCACGGCGGGAGGTTCTGGACTGTCGGGGATGGCGGAGGACACTATTGGACCACTGCACGCGCCTCCCTCCCGCTTAGTCGTATTTTCTTTTATTCTCCTCGTGGAGATCACGCCCTGGGTCTCTGGCCGTCTAAAGTCTACTGTGATTTGGACCTTGCACCATTACACAGACGGCGCAGGGTGCCTGGACCACGTAACCCCGCGGAGCCCCCCGAGTGTTCCGATCTTGTTGCCTTGTGTTTTATTTCTATAAATGCATGAAACCTGCGAGGCATCTCACACAGTCAGCGGTTGTCTACTGCGTTGCCCGTCCTCTGTTTCACCCCATCTCCTTGCCGACTTCCCGGCTTGCAGCTGTGGCTGTTTTCTTTCTGCCTTAAAGCTCCTTTTGGTATTTTCTGTAGTGCAGACCCTGCTGGGGACACGTTCTCTCAGTGTCTGGTTGCCTGAGAATGGCATTATTACGTCCTTATTATCATCCTTGCAGGTATGGAATTCTAGCGTGGTGCTTATTCTCGTGCAGACGGTAAAGGTGTGATCCCACTGTCTTCTGACTCCCGTCATCTCCACTGAGAAGTCATCTGTGAACGTCACTGTTGCCTCTTCCAAGGGCATCTGTCCTGTCCCTCTGGCCGGCTCTCTTCACATTCCTCCCTGTCTTTGGATTTCAGCCCCAGTGTGCCCAGATGTGGTTTTCTTTTTATTTACTGTGATAAAGATTCTTAAATGCCTCCGCATCTATGAGTCTTTCATCAATTTAAATTTCTTGTCCATTATATCTTCAAATATTTTACTACCCGTACCTCATTCTCTCCTAACCAGGAGATTAGAGGATTAAAACCAGCTTTTTCACCACGTCCCTTATGTTTACTGCTCCACTAAATTTACTTTAACCCTTTCTCCCCCTCACTGTGCGCAGTCTCAATATCGCCCCATCTCTGTTGCTTCACTAGTCTGCTCTTTGGTCTTGTCTAATACCCTGTTAAGCTAATCTACTAAGTTAACTTCAGTTCCTGTGCTCTGCCCGTCTAGACCTTCTCTTACATTCTGGTTCATAAATCCAGTTTGCCACTGAAATTCCCCGCCGTGTCCTCTATTTTCTTGAACAAATTAATCACAGTTACTTTAAATCCATGTTTGCCAGTTCTGTTGTCTAGATCTCCTGCAGGGCTGTTTCTAGTGTTTGCTTTTTCTCTCGGTCCTTTGTCCATTGGTCTTGTCTTCCAGTGTGCCCAGTAGTTTTGACTGAATGTCTGGCTTTGCACATGAAAATTGTAAGATTACTCCAGTCTCTGTTGACGGGACCTGGCTCCAGAGACCCACTTCTGATCCTGGCAGGCAGTAGGTCCTGGGCAGACTGTCCGAGTTCCACTGGAGCTGATGCCAGGTGGGGCCCAGCTTTGGCTCCAGTTTGCCCTCCGTCCTAGGGAGCAGCCCTTCACTCACACTCAGTGTTTCCAACAGAAAGCCCGGCTCCTTCCCAGAATCCTCTGCCTGGTCAGGGCTGCACTGTGGGTTTGTGTCTTCCAATTCCACGAGATGACTGAAACCTCTGCTCAGCCTCTCGGCCTCTCGGCTGTGAGCCGTGAATGGGCAACTGCCTTGAGCAAACCCCCAGTAACTAGCAGACTAACGTCTGTGCACTTTCCCTCCGATGGGGATCCCGTCACTCAGGTCTCGGCGGTCTCGGTACCTCCTGAAACCAGGTTTCCTATTTTCCCAGCTGGACGGCGGGTCTGACGCAAGTCAACTCCCCACACGCGGAACAGAACACGACAGAGCACTTTACACAGTGTAAGAGAAAGGTGGTGCATTGGAACCATTTTCAGAACTTGAAATTGTTATTCAGTGATTCCTCTGAAAATGTTCATGTTTTTCAGCCAATATTTATTAACGATCTTCCCCGCGCCGGGCACCGTTAGGTCTCTGGAGACTGACGGGCAGGCCGGGCACACGCTGTCCCTGGCTTTGCAGAGCAGAGAACACCAGACAACGAGCAGCAGCAGCCGGGACTCGCTGCGGACACGTCGGTGGCGGGACTGAGCGTCTGTCACTGACGCACAGCGGAAAGCTCCGGTCTCAGAGAGTAGAGCGAAACCACAGCCCCACGCAGACGGCTCGAAACTCTCCTCCGGGATCTGAGCCCTGTCCCATGCCCAGCTCCGCCACATGCAGGCCTAGTGGGCTCAGGGACGCCACGGCCGGGGCGGGACCTGTCTCCTGGCCCTTCTTCTCCCTCCCTGGGCTCTGAGCGCTGCCGTGGTGGGACAGGAGGAGCGTGGCAGGGCCAGCACTGTGGGCTCCCACTGCTGCAGCCTCTCTGACCAGCTCCGGGGGACCCGCCGTGGGGAGCGGGCGGCCCGTGGGTGGAGGGGGCGGGCTCTCCCTGGACGCCACTCGCTGCAGGGGGCGGAACAGACAGCCACCTCCACAGGCCCTTCCCAGCCCCTGGGCAGCACGGTGGCGGGGGCAGCGGGCCCTAGGTGGTCAGCGTGTGTCGTATTAGGGCACCCCGAGGGGGAAGGTCTGACCAGACACAGCACTGGAACGAGAGCTAGTTTCCAGCGTTGCCGGCTTCAGGACAACACAGAACATTGCACTTCACATCCTGTAACGCAGGCCTTGTTTTATAGTGAAATATGCACGTGTGTACTGTGATTTTATGTGAAAATGCGAAACCGCAATCAGCGTTACAGTTGGTGATGGGGGAGGGTGTCCCTGGTGACCGGGGCAGCTCACAGGGCCAGGAGCTCCTGAACTTCGTCTCCACCACGTGGCGACCGCGCGGGCGATCAGAGATTGCGACGATTTGAGAGGCCTGAGTGGAGCTGGGGGCTGCAGCGGGGCCCTGGGAAGGGCTGGTCGGGGGCAGGCGCAGGCTCAGGACAGGGACAGGGCACACGAGGAGGGGCCCCTGGGGACAAGGGCCAGTGGTGGCCCTCGGCCCAGCACGGATGCTCCGTGGGTTCAGAACCCGGGGACATGGCTGAGGGGGCTGCCATCGTGCCGAGCGGGGAGGGGCCGAGCCCTCGGTCCTCGTCCTCATGCACAGTCCCGCCGCCTCCCAGCCAAGGACAAGGCCCGCGGCAGGCACAGCGCAGGAGGCGCAGAGCCCGTCGGGGGAGAAACCCTCCAGAGCTCGGGCCAAGGGCTCTGGGTCCAGGCCCGGCGCCCCTCAGAGCCGCATGGCCCTGGGCAGGTCACCGAACACCCCCCAATCCGGGTTGTGTGTCACCGGGTGGTGACAGTCCTGTATCCCGGGAAGGGGCCTCACTGGAGGGGGTGTCTGCACCACGGGAAGCTCTTCCTACGGGCCGGCTGCAGCAGGGAGAGCCAGTGTCCTGGGGCTGCCGGGCCAGTGACAGGACAGGGCCCCAGCTCGCCAGGGACGGCCCAAGGCACGTCCCACCCCCCCGACCCTGTGTCCCTCGCTGCCCCACAACCCGGCTGGGAGCACCCCCAGCCCACTCCTGCCCCCAGGGGACCAATGGGACGGGCTGCACCAGGATGTTTACGAGCTGGACAACCTCACAGGCAAACAAACATCCTAATGACGGCCTGGCCCCGGCGCTCACCAACGAGGAAGGGGCGGCTGGGGGCTGGGACAACAGGGCGGGAGGGGTATAAAGGCCGACAGCGCCGAGCACCCCACACACTCCTCACCCACTCACCCACTCACACCTGCCCGGCTCAACCCCAGCATGGCCGCGTCCGCCGTGTCCGTCTGCTCCAGCGACCTGAGCTACGGCAGCCGGGTCTGCCTGCCCGGTTCCTGCGATTCCTGCCCCGACTCCTGGCAGGGGGACGACTGCCCAGAGAGCTGCTGCGAGCCCCCCTGCTGCGCCCCCAGCTGCTGCGCCCAGGCCCCCTGCCTGACCCTGGTCTGCAGCCCAGTGAGCTGTGTGTCCAGCCCCTGCCAGTCAGTCTCCACCAGCACCTGCACGCCCTCGTGCTGCCAGCAGTCTAGCTGCCAGCCGGCTTGCTGCACCCCCTGCCCCTGCCAGCAGGCCTGCTGTGTGCCCGTGTGCTGCAAGCCCGTGTGCTGTGTGCCCGTGTGCTCTGAGGCCTCCTCTTCATGCTGCCAGCAGTCTAGCTGCCAGCCGGCTTGCTGCACCCCCTCCCCCTGCCAGGCCTGCTGTGTGCCTGTGTGCTGCAAGCCCGTGTGCTGTGTGCCTGTATGCTCTGAGGCCTCCTCTTCATGCTGCCAGCAGTCTAGCTGCCAGCCGGCTTGCTGCACCCCCTCCCCCTGCCAGCAGGCCTGCTGTGTGTCCGTGTGCTACAAGCCTGTGTGTTGCAAGCCTGTGTGCTGCAAGCCCATCTGCTGTGAGCCTGTCTGCTCTGGGGCCTCCTCTTCAAGCTGCCAGCAGTCTAGCTGCCAGCCTGCTTGCTGCACCTCCTCCCCCTGCCAGCCGTCCTGCTGCAGACCTTCCTCCTGCGTGTCCCTCCTCTGCCGCCCCATGTGCAGACCTGCCTGCTGTGCCCCCGCCTCGTCCTGCCAGCCCAGCTGCTGCCGCCCGGCCTCCTGTGTATCCCTCCTCTGCCGCCCTGCCTGCCCCCGCCCGGCCTCCTGCGTGTCCCTCCTCTGCCGCCCCGCCTGCCCCCGCCCGGCCTGCAGTTGCATCTCCTTGGGCCAGAGGTCCAGCTGCTGAGGGGCACGTCCCCAGGGCCAGCAGGCTCAGGTCCACCCTGTGCCTCTCACAGCCCCCTCGATCCAGTCCTGGCCCAGGTTAGGCAGCTGCCCCCACCTGGGGAGGGGCCCCCACATCCCCCCTGTGCTGCCCTGACCTCCCCCTCCTGCCATCCAGAGACTGCCCCCACCTGCCATCTGGCCCCGTCCTCCCTCCTAGTGTCCCTGCTGCGGGTCACGTGGCCTCGACTTGAACCTGTCAGCACCCTCGGCCCCCAATAAACTCGCCGTGACCACCTGATTCTCTTCTCCTTGACGCTCATGGGGGTGGGGGCGGGGTTTTGAGCAGACAGTGGCCTCCTCCCGCCAGGAACATTTCTAGGAACGAGTGACTCAACCCAGAAATCACGGGGCAGTGTCCTCTCTCCTCTGGGGTCACAGGCGGGACTCCCAGACTCGCCCAGTCCCTGCCCGGCCCCTGCCCCAGCTCCCCGAGGCTGGTTATCCCAGAGGCCTCGGCTGGGGGTGGTCTTCTGGCCCCCTGGACTGTCCCAGCCACGTCCCAGCTGGGCAGTCCCACCCTCCAGAGTCGCCCCCAGGAAGCCACCTGCGGATCCAGGCTCCGTAGCCTCTGGGTCTGGGTCTCCCTTCCGGGGTGTCCCGGCCATGGCGCTACCCGCACAGTGGACCCTGGTGCAGGAGAGAGAGGAGCTGCTCCCCGTTCAGGGGAGATGAAGACGTGAGTGGGAGGGAAGATGTCGTGGGTGGAAACAGGGCCGCCTGCGTCCTCCTCTGGGAGCATCGAGGTCTGCACGCAGGTGGGGGACAGGGGTCCCGGCTTCACCTGACGGTCCGCACGCTTGTCCCCACACGGTCTGGGGACACCCGGAGGCTGGAGGCTTGGTCTGCACAAGGAGCTCGAGCCTCCCGGGCTTCCTTGGCAGGAAAGGTCGGCGCCGCGGACAGTGGCCGGGACAGTGGCCAGCACCCCCCTGCCGGGCAGGCCCCGCACTGATGGCCTCGGGCTCCCCCCGAGTGGCCTGTCCTGGCTCCAGCCCGGTTCTTGCCCAGCTGTTTGTGCAGTTCCTGTGGCCTGAGGGTGTTTTCAGCCGGTCGCTGTGATGCGGGAGGCAGAGGATGTGAACCTTTCCCCCATCAGTAGCCAACTGGCTTTTTTAAAAGTCCATTTCCCAGCCCTATCTGAAATATTTCTTTTACCTTATAAAAATTCCTTCGTCAATTTCTGAGACGGCTGTTTTCTTGCATTAGTCTCCTTCTGTCCTGGCACCAGTTCCAAGACGTTTCATCCACTTTAGCCGTGTGATGTATTTCAACAGTCGATAAGGAAGGCATCCCTTCTTATGTTCCAAACATTTTCATTATGTCTCGTAGATACTCTTTTCCCAATTAATTTTAGAATGTTTTTCAAGTTATTTTTAAAAGTACTAGAATTTTTACTGGAATTGCATTGAACTTTTAAATATTTAGGAGGAATCTGTAATTTTAAATATTGCCTCTCAGTTGCATAGCAGCACATGTCCGCTTAGAACTTACCGTTTTCTTCTGTTGGTCGTACATGGTCCTACTGGGATAGACTCTGGATGTTTTCCTAGTGTCAATGGGAAAAGTTTTCTATTACATTGTCTTAGTATGGAAATCATATATAATATATCTAT